GCAATGTGTCACATGGAAATGCTAATTTACCTTCAGGTATAACATTCCTGTAACATGTCACTTGGAAATGCTAATTTACCTTCAGGTATAACATTCCTGTAACATGTCACATGGAAATGCTAATTTACCTTCAGGTATAACATTCCTGCAATGTGTCACATGGAAATGCTAATTTACCTTCAGGTATAACATTCCTGCAATGTGTCACATGGAAATGCTAATTTACCTTCAGGTATAACATTCCTGCAATGTGTCACATGGAAATGCTAATTTACCTTCAGGTATAACATTCCTGTAACATGTCACATGGAAATGCTATGTCAGATATAGAGATTGGGGCCAAATCTGTCTCAGGTCAGAGTGGCCACACCAGCTACCTCTCTCTCCTAAACATTGCTACTCTGATTGTCTAGACTCCTGGGAATGAGCTCCTCACCACGGGGCATAAAACAGCACTTGGACTCTTCATATAGCGATGTGATGCTTGGTCAACAGGGGCCACCACACTGAAGTTCCCAGAGGACAAAGCCATACACATGTTAAAGACTCTGTAACCGGCCAACTGATTAGAACGCCTGTGATTATGAAGCCTTAGAACATTACAGGTACAAAGCAATTATCACAGCCCATCTTAGTGTCCTTAGGAGTCATTCATTGCAGTTTTGGGATCTGAGCCAGCATCCCTGTGCCTATTAGGTGAAACCTTTTGGAATATATTGGCTTATCAAAATGCTAGCTTTTCACAAACCAAAAACTTTCCATGTCACCAGAAACCATAATTTCCTACTTTACTACACTCTGATCCCCTGATGTCACCTAAAGTATAATTGAATAATGCCTTGAGTTATGACTTATAACTTGTTTGTGCTTTGTAACTTTCTATGAAACTTTGGACCATGTCATTGGAGGCAACCTGAGTCCATATTCCTGGGCCGTGGTCACTCACAATAGGCTCAGGAATAAGCTATACCCCATTCCTTTGAGTGAGAGCTATTTTTGGTTTTGAGAAATACATGAGTACATCTATATGCAAATACAGCATTACTGACAATTTGAGATCCTCTGGGTCGCTTGTACAATCCAGATTTAAATTTTTTAACCATTATTTTTATTACATCATAAAAAGGGAGCAGAAGGAATAAAACTTTTTAATCTAATTTCAAATATACATAAATTATCAAGAAAATACACAGAATTAGTCCAATATGTCTTTTATCTCCATTCACATCTTGTTAACATTGTTAACCACTTTGCTTCCAAAGCACTTTAATTTTTATCAGCTGAACACTGATAAAATGATGGCCATTTATTCCTCAGTACAACATAATTTTGAATAATAAGACTATTGTCCCACAAAATTAAACAGCCACTATCAACTTCATAAAATATAACATTGATAGGATACAAATAAAGAGTTTTTATACAAGAAGTTTTGTACAAGAAGTATGCCAATGAAATTTTCAGAATAGAGAAAGAATTCTTCAAAAGGGAAGACTATGTGATGAGACATGATGGATGAGGAATAAGGTCAGCATGAGACCTACCTAGATCAACAGATGTGCCGAGATAAGGAGAAGAAATTGTTCATTCCAAATTATTTACTTTATTGTTTCTTGAAAGAGGTGTTTTGCACCCAACAGTTTCTTCAGGGCCTCTGTGACATTCTTATTCCTAAGACTGTAGATTAGTGGGTTCAACAGAGGGGTGAGTATTGTGTAAAACACAGACACCATCATGTCCTTCTCAGGGGTGTGGAAGGAGACAGGGAACATGTAATTGTAGATACCAGAACCATAGAAGAGGATGACCACAGTCATGTGGGAGGAGCAGGTAGCCAGGGCCTTCTTCCTGCCCTCTGTCGAGTTCATCCTGATAACTGTGAGGAGGATGAATGAATAGGAGCTTGATATGACTGTCACAGGGATGAGAAGCATGAGCACACAGCACAGGTACATGAGGGTCTCATACAGCTGGGTGTCTGAGCAGGAGAGCTTTGTCACAGCAGGTGCCTCACAGAAGAAGTGATGGATCTCATGAGATGCACAGAATGGGAAGGTCATGGTGACAGGGCTGAATATGATGCCATCCAAGGATCCCAGGAACCAACAGACAGACATCAGGAGGAGACACACTCTACGGTTCATGAGGACAGGATAACGGAGTGGATGGCAGATGGCCACATAGCGGTCGTAAGCCATGGCAGCCAAAAGGAAACATTCTGAACCTCCCAATGTCATGTATAGGAATATCTGTATCCCACAGGCAGCAGCTGAGATCTTGTGGCTCCCAAGGACCTGGTCCATGAGCATCTTGGGCACAGTGACAGAAATATATATCATGTCCATGAGGGACAACTGGCTGATGAAAAAGTACATGGGTGTGTGGAGGCGGGTGTCAGAGATTATCAGAAGGATCAGGAGGGCATTCCCAGACAAGGCCATCAAGAAAACCACAAATATGATGACAGCAAGCAGAGCAGGGTGTTTGGATTGACTGAAGAATCCCACCAGGGTGAAATCTGACTGTCCAGTGAAGTTGCTCATCCAGTTGTTGATGTTCATGAGTGTTTCCTAGGCAACCAAGAATGCTTTGGGGTCAGTGTTTGCAAACTGTTATGTGCACAAGCCTAGTGTGCTGAGACAGTTCCATGGGCCTTTAATTCTGAGAATGATTATCAAACTATAATTTAAAGTTTTAAAAGTTAAGAAATTAATATCTTTGGTTAGATCCATCACAAGTCAGGGTAGAGCGATCATAGTTCATGGTTGTAATCTTTCCTGATGACTAATAGTGATCTCTATTAATAAAGTCTTGAAATCTGCACAATAATTTTTTGCTACTAGCAAAAAGAGTGAATGGTAGACCAAAAGAAACAAACAAAAACTAAGGAAAGACAAACGCAAATAAGGAGACATATTATTAAGAAAGTTAATGAATAAAGTTATTCTTAAGAATCATTGTAGAGTTGCTTATAATATTAACACTTTATGAGATGCACTCTCCATTTTAGTAGTCAATGAAGAATGTAGTTTAAAAAAATATTCTAAAAGATATTAATGGAAGAATGCACACACGGCCTGGAGAGATGGCTCAGAGGTTAAGAGCACTGACTGCTCTTCCAGAGGTCCTGAGTTCAATTCCCAGCAACCTAATGGTGGCTCACAACCATCCGTAATGAGATCTGGTGCCCTCTTCTGGTGTGCAGGCATACTTGAGAGTAGAACATTGTATGCATAATAAATAAATATTAAAAAAAGAAAATGCACAGTCTACTTAAAATTGAACTTGAAGTTTCTTGATAAATGATTTATTTTAAAGATTATCCTCTTTACATATACATTCAAATAAACACAGTCATATGAAACGATAAATAAAACCATACATAGAACATGCTTGCTCATATAATGCTGGTTGGACTGAGATAGTGGGACATCTCACCCTTTCCTGGTCTCTGCTTCTCCCAGTTCATCTCCTTACAGGGTCCACCATTGGCTCTAACTTCAGCAGGAGGCAGAGGATTCAGCAGTCACTGCTGGTTGCCAGGCCAGGCTGTGGCAGCAGCCTCTCTATGGACTGTCAGCCACTTCTTCATGGAGTCTGGGAAGTAGAGAGAACACAGCCATGACATATCCCTGACAGTGAATCTGCATTCCGCCTGCTCCATGCTCACAGCCTGCCTCTGTGCTAGATGCAATATATATATACATACATACATACATTGTTTGTGTGTGTGTGTATTCAAGGACACATTAACTTTGATTGCATTAAACAAGGTAAGTGTCCATCTGTGCTGGGAAAATAGTACATATGTGAACTAAATTTGAAGGTTTAAACAGGTACAACAGAGTGAGAAACAGCAGCAGACAGAATGTAGCCAGCCTTTCTGACAAAGTTCAGTGAACGCCTCTACCACAGTTACTTCTCAAAAAGAGGAGATTTGTAAAGTTTTTTTTTTATTTCTGACTAGTAGATATTGCATTTTGATAGCTCTTAGCAATAGAAAGGAAATGAAATCTCCCCTTTCTGAGATGTTAGCAATAGTTAAAGGGAGGGGCTGCTGAGACAACAATCACAAGTCTCAGCATCATTTTAATCTCTGTCAAGATTCTAAAAACAAAAACACAAAACAAACCTGAAACTGAAGTCCTTAAAGGGCCATGCTCTGCCAAGCTGCTGATGGAGCAGAGAACATGGCCAGTTTCTTGATACCTTCATATAAATGTCAGAAAAACCTATGGGAGGAGATGGACAGAGATACAGACAGACAATAACTGAAGGATAGGAGACACATGAATGATTTCCATTTTAAGCAGGCTTATTCATGAAAGGAAACTTACATATGTTCTAACACTTAAGCTTTCCTCATTCTCCTTAAGGTTACATGCTGACTTAATTCATATTTGTGGACACAGTGAAGAGGGACCAGGGAGTCTTCCACAGTCTATGAGATTTCCTGACCAGGGTTTGCTGGGTGAGTGGAGGTCAGGAGGCAGGTGAGGGGCAGGAGGTGTGCTGGGAAGGTGGTGCACTCGGTTAAGTGGGGAACACTGGCATCACGGCACCCAGAGAGCAGGGAGATCATGAAGGTAATGTCTGCACAAGACACAGGACCAGCAGCTGGCTTGCCCTTACACATTCTGTGAGTTTGATTTCATGTGAACAGCTTGGTGCATGTTAACACTGGGTATTACTCACGGTGAAGGCAGAGAAATGACAAAGCATCCTCCCCAGCAAGCAGCATCCCTGAACCACCCTGTGCTTCCACAGGAGTCACCATGTTTTCTCCTTACAGTGGAGAAGCTCAGGGTCTCAGGGCGTCTGCTTCACATCACACAATAACCCACAGCATGAATGCTTTACCTATGAGTAGGCACAGAGTGGGTACCTGCCTGGGTTCTATGGGAAACACCATTTCCCCAGGAAAATGTATAGTTTCTGCTTAGATCAACCACAGTTTGTTTCATATGATAAGACAAGAATAAGATTAAAAAATTGAGAGCAGCTCGGGAACAGGGTCGCGCGCGCGTCTCTCCTACACGCTCTCCAGGGTGTTTGCAGAAACATCTGTTCGTTTCCTGCACAGCAACCCGGCTGCAAGAAACAAACCATGTCTATTCTCAAGATCCATGCCCGAGAGATCTTTGACTCCCGTGGGAACCCCACTGTTGAGGTTGACCTCTGCACCTCAAAAGGTCTCTTCCGAGCTGCCGTGCCCAGTGGTGCCTCCACAGGCATCTATGAGGCCCTAGAACTCCGTGACAATGATAAGACTCGCTACATGGGGAAGGGTGTCTCAAAGGCTGTTGAGCACATCAATAAAACTATCGCACCTGCTCTGGTTAGCAAGAAACTGAGTGTTGTGGAACAAGAGAAGATCGATAAACTGATGATTGAGATGGATGGCACTGAAAATAAATCCAAATTTGGTGCAAACGCCATCCTGGGAGTGTCCCTGGCTGTCTGCAAAGCTGGTGCCGCAGAAAAGGGAGTGCCCCTTTACCGTCACATCGCTGACTTGGCTGGCAACCCTGAAGTCATCCTGCCCGTTCCAGCTTTCAATGTGATCAACGGCGGTTCTCATGCTGGCAACAAGCTGGCCATGCAGGAGTTCATGATCCTCCCTGTGGGGGCGTCCAGTTTCCGGGAAGCCATGCGCATTGGGGCAGAGGTTTATCACAACCTGAAGAATGTCATCAAGGAGAAATACGGGAAGGATGCCACCAATGTGGGTGATGAGGGCGGGTTCGCACCCAACATCCTGGAGAACAAAGAGGCCCTGGAGCTGCTGAAGAACGCAATTGGGAAGGCCGGCTACACCGACCAGGTTGTCATCGGCATGGATGTGGCTGCCTCTGAGTTCTTCCGGTCTGGCAAGTATGACCTGGACTTCAAATCTCCTGATGATGCCAGCAGGTACATCACGCCTGACCAGCTGGCTGACCTGTATAAGTCCTTCATCCAGGACTATCCAGTGGTGTCCATCGAAGACCCCTTCGACCAGGATGACTGGGAGGCCTGGAAGAAGTTCACAGCTAGTTCAGGCATCCAGGTGGTTGGGGATGATCTCACGGTAACCAACCCTAAGAGGATTGCCAAGGCTGTGAGTGAGAAGTCCTGCAACTGCCTCCTGCTCAAAGTGAACCAGATTGGCTCTGTGACCGAGTCTCTGCAGGCGTGTAAGCTGGCCCAGTCCAATGGTTGGGGCGTCATGGTGTCCCATCGCTCTGGGGAGACTGAGGATACTTTCATCGCTGACCTGGTTGTGGGACTCTGCACTGGGCAGATCAAGACTGGTGCCCCATGCCGATCTGAGCGCCTGGCCAAGTACAATCAGATCCTTAGAATCGAGGAAGAGCTGGGCGGCAAGGCCAAGTTTGCCGGCAGGTGCTTCAGGAACCCCCTGGCCAAGTAAAGTGTGTGTGGAGATCCCTGGAGCCACCGGCTGCTTTGACCCTGTCCCTGATATCAACGAGGCGGCTCAAAGCTGGCCCAGCGCCTGTCCCTCCCATGCCGCCGCTTCCTTAGACGGTCCTTAGACAGCCACACCTGACCACCTTGAGCCTGCTGGAAACCCCAGCTTTGTAATCATGTGATTGGTCTGAATCATTGTTTCTGTCACCTCACTTCCAAGCTAAGTGTCTGAAGCCCATTGTAATCTTTAGGGTGGCCGCAGGTAAGATCCCTGCCCCAGCGGTTCTACATGCAAAATAAAAGCCTCAGTGACCCATAAAAAAAAAAAAAAAAAAAAAAAAAAAAAAAAAAAAAAAGATTAAAAAATTATGTTTGCATTACTGTAACACTCAAATATTGCCCACACTTGAAATGAAATCAACCACATAAGAGACAATTTTGTAACTAATGGTTTTTAACATGAATGCTAAAAACACATAAGGAAGGGCAGTGTGTTGGCAGATACCTACTACAATCCTAGCACTTGTGAGACTGTGGCATGGGACCTGCAATGAAATCAACTCAAATCTGGGGTGTGTGTTGTGTGTGTGTGTGTGTGTGTGTGTGTGTGTGTGTGTGTGTGTGTGTGTGTGTCATATATTGCTCCATTCATTCTTAACTTAGAAAAATTTTCAGTAATAATGTACTAAATGGAAGCTTTAGGAAGATGCTGGGTGTGGTAGTGCACATTTTTAATCCCGGCACTAGGGGTACAGAGGCTGGTAGATCTCAGATGGCTAGTCCAGCCTGGTCTACAAAGCAAGTTCTGAACTGCCAGGGCTGCACAGAAAAATCTTATCTCAAAAAACCAAAATCAAGAGACAAGAAGGCAGAATTTTATTACTCCACATAAAAATAGACAATAAATGATAAAACAAACCCATTGAAGAGTGAACAGATTCTCTAGGGATCACCTTGTGCTGTGCATTCGTCCTGGTCAGATTGACTCACTGTCAGATGCAGCTGCAGCCTGGGTCATCATATGAGCCAAGGGACGGTAGCTGGTTAAGTGCAGAAGGAACAGGAGGCAAGTGACATCATCCTTGGCTGGACCCTGCTCACTCCTGGATATAGATTGTGTTAATAACTCCCCTGTGAGTCTTTAAAGAAGAATGTAACTAAGTGAGCCAGGGATGGTGAATGAATCCTCTGCCACAGCCTCACTTACCCTTCAGTTTTGTTAAAGTGGAAAGTCATAGCTGGTATTAACCATAGCCTGGACTATCACCATCATAAAGAGTAATCTGGTCTAACATGAGTCAGTTATTGAATGTTCAGGCCCTTGTTCACTATGTAGAAATCTATTCCCTCCCATTCTCTCCCTGTCTCTGTTTGTCTGTCTCTGTCTCTCTCTCTGTTCATATAAACTGTCAGTAGTTTTTGTCTCATTATCTTTATAACTTATCTTTTTAAGTGTGGAGTCCAAAGCTTGGGTTCAGTTCCTCTTTCTAGTATATCCCAGACTGACCTCATCTTGCCTTCTCCCCATCACGTCATGGCTGTGTTCTGCTGTCAATCAGAAGCCACGTTCAGTTCAGTTTGTTTTGCTTTAAATAGTGACCTGAAAATTATAGAAAGACCACAAATACAAATAGCTTAAATGAAAATGAGAATATTTATATTACCATCAGTGGGACAAAAGTCACACTTTAGAGAGTGACACCTTCCCTTAAACTGCACACATCTGTGAAGTGTAAACTGTGTAGTTGACGATGCGCAACAGGGAAGAAGATGGATCCACCTCAGCACTCTTGATCCTGCAGCCAAATTGCTCTGTACTTTTTCTGAGTGCTAAAGGTTTCTGATCCTTTAGCATGAATTTGGTTTAGCATGGTTTCCCATGTCATGACAGTATTCCTATTTCATCCTCTGGTCACACAGTGTCCTCTGCTCATCAGGCCACACTCCTGAGCTCAGCCCTCCCATGTTCCCAGGGCTTTAACCTACAGATGGAGCAGGGTCTTGACTCCTTCCACACTTGGTTTGAGTACAGGCCCTGAGTGGATTTGGCAGGGAAGGGGAAAGAAAAGGGGACTTTCACTGTTGCTACTGGTCTGGGCTATCTGCACCAACTGTAGGTGACAGAGGCTCTGTGGGACTCCAGGCTGTGTCCAGCACCCAAGGTAGCTGACTCAGCACTGTTAGGACACAGATGTCTTAGGTGTGCATGGTGTCAGGGCATGGCCCCCAGTAGATTAGAGAGTCCAGTATCTAACACACATCGAGGGGCACATGCAGCTACCAAAGTGACAACATTCCACCCCAATGTCACCTGCCTGCCCTACAGATCATTGTTCCTGTGTGACCAAGGTCCTGTGTGAATTTCTCCAGCTGAAAATGTGAAGGCTTTTTAAAGTCCTGGAAAGTGATTCATGAGGACCTTTGTTGGAGAGAGAAAATAAAAATACCAGTGTCATCAAACAATCAAATCCTATGTAATTAAATGTTATGAACCCATGCCACACAGTGGATGTGTCATAGAACGCAATAAAAACAGTTCATGGAAATAAGGGAAGCTTATGCACAGTATGATCTGAGCACAAACACACAGAACTGACTGTTGTTCCTCATGATGCCCTGGCAATGGGAAATGCTGTCCCTGTCTGTGCATCTCACCTGCCTCCTTCTGAAGAGATTTAGCTAGGAAGTCTTTCTTCCTTCATGTTCAAAGTGTTGTAAGGATCTCAGGGTTTTAGTGAGGCTCACCAGTGTCACATAGTTGTGTATCAGGTATGGGTTCAGGAGGGTCCATAGAAAGAAGACACACAGAGACAAATGAAATTTTAGCATTTTCCAGCTGCAGGGTGTTCAGGCTATGGCTAACTGACCCTGTTTGTTAGCAAAGGACATTTTTATTTGTTTGTTTTTCTGTGTAATATCCATCTTTTGTGCCTTATATTTTATATTACCTTTACTGTCTCTTATTTTTTATTAAGAGATTTTCTATTCATTTTACATACCAACTACAGATTCCTCTATCCTCCCTCCTCCTGCCCTCCAGCCTTCGCCTGCAATCCTTCCCTCCATTCCCACCTCCTCCAAGGCAAGGTTTCCCATGGGGAGTCAATTCGTTCAATTGATGGAGATCCAAGACTCCCCAACCCCCTGCACCAAGGCTGCACAAAGTGTGTCACCATAAGCACTAGGCTCCAAAAAGCCATCTCATGCACTTGGGACAGGTCCCGATCCCACTGCCTGGGAGCCCCCTAAACAGTTCAAGCTAAACAACTGTGTCGTCTATCCAGAGGACCTAGTTCATTACCAAGGGGGCTCCACATCTATTGGTCAACAGTTCATTTATTTCCACTAGTTTGGCTAGTTGTCTCTATACTTTTTCCCAATATGGTCTCCATGTCCCTTGCTTATAGAATCCCTGTCCTCTCTAATTGGTTGGACTCCTGGAGCATGGCCTGGGACCCAACCTTGGATCTCTGCATTGGCTTCATTCAGTCACTGGATGAGGGCTCTATGATGACAGTTAGAGTATTCAGCCGTCTGATAACCACAGTAGGCCAATTCAGGCACCCTCTCGACTATTGCCAGTAGTCTATGGTGGGGTCATGCTTGTGGAGTCGTGAGAACTTCCCTAGTACTCTGTTTCTCCCTATTCCCATGATGTCTTCATTTATCATGGTATCTCTTTCCTTGCTCTCCCACTCTATTCCTGTTCCAGCTCAAAACTCCCATTCCCCTATGTTATCCCCAGTCCCTTGCCCTCTATTACCTCCCACTCATCCCCAGTTTGCTCATGTAGATCTCATCTATCTCTTCTTTGCTGGACAATCCATGAGTCCTTCCTAGGGTCCTCCTTACTATCTAGTCTCCGTGGAGCTCTGTGTTGCAGTCTGGTTATCCTTTGCTTTACATCTAGTATTCACTTATGAATCAGTACATACCATGTTTGTCTTTCTGAGTCTGGGTTACCTCACTCAGGATGATTTTTTCTAATTCCATCCATTTACCTGCAAATTTCATGATGTCATTGTTTTTCTTTGCTGAGTAGTACTCCATTGTGTATATGTACCATATTTTCTTTATCCATTCTTCAGTTGAGGGCATCTAGGTTGTTTCCAGGTTCTGGCTATTACAAATAATGCTGCTATGAACATATTTGAGTATGTGTCCTTGTGGTATGATTGAGCATTCCTTGGGTATGTGCCCAAGAGTTCTATAGCTGGGTCTTGAGGAAGATTGATTCCCAGTTTTCTGAGAAACTGCCATACTGATTTCCAAAGTGGCTGTACAAGTTTGCATTCCCACCAACAGTGTAGGAGTGTTCCCCTTGCTCCACATCCTCTCCAACATAATCTGTCTTCAGTGTTTTTGTTCTTAACCATTCTGACAGGTTGTAAGATGGTATCTCAGAGTCGTTTTGATTTGCATTTCCCTGATGACTAAGTATGTCGAAAATTCCTTAAATGTCTTTCAGCCATTTGAGATTCTTCTGTTGAGAATTCTCTGTTCAGTTCTGTAGCCCATTTTTTAAAATTGGTTTGTTAGGTATTTTGATGTCTAGTTTCTTGAGTTCTTTATATATTCTGGATGTCAGTCCTCTGTGGAGGATGTGGGGTTGGTGAAGGTCTTTTCCCGTTCTGTAGGCTGTCTTTTGTCTTACTGACTCTGTCCTTTGTCCTGCAAAAGCTTCTCAGTTTCAAGAGGTCCTATTTATTTATTTATTTATTTTAAAATTTTTTTTGGTTTTTTGAGACAGGGTTTCTCTGTGTAGCTTTGGGCCTTTCATAGATCTCGCTCTGTAGACCAGGCTGGCCTCGAACTCACAAAGATCCGCCTGCCTCTGCCTACCGAGTGCTGGGATTAAAGGCATGTGCCACCACCGCCTGGCTGGAAGAGGTCCCATTTATTAATTGCTGCTCTCAGTCTGTGCTACTGGTGTTATATTCAGGAAGTGATCTCTGGTACCAATGCATTCAAGAGTACTTCCTACTTTCTTTTCTATCAGCTTCTGTGTAACTGGATTTATGTTGAGGTCTTGATCCACTTGGTCTTGAGTTTTGTGCATGGCAATGGATATGGGTCTATTTGCAATCTTCTACATGCCAACATCCAGTTATGCAAGCACCATTTGTTAAAGATTCTTTCTTTTTTCCATGGTAGAGTTTTGGCTTCTTTGTCAAAAATCAGATGTTCATACGTGTGCAGATTAATATCAGGGTCTTCAATTAGATTCCATTGGTCCACATGTCTGTTTTTGTGCCAGTACCAAGCTGTTTTTATTACCGTAGCTCTATAGTAGAGACTGAAGTCAGGGATTATGATGCCTCCAGA